TGAGTCCCCTCAGGGAAAAGGGCGGCATACAAATAAAGTTAAAATCAAATCAAATCAAATCAAATCTGGCCATTTTTACCAACAGTTAAAGAATAGTGACCTACAGAAATCTAGATTTGAAGGGGAGAAAGTGACTCAGAGGCCAAACTCTTTGCATCTCTTGGCACTTCCTCAAAGAAGTTCCTTAAAATAGCCATAGGACTCCAGGAAAATATACATTTTATTTAAGAAGATGCTGGTGGGGAGACATGTATACTCACCCATGCTCTTAGCTATCCTTCCTTTTCAAATCTGGATCTCTGAACAAGCAATGAAAGAAAATTGGTATTTTCATTTCCTTCCCCAGGGGGCCAGGTCTCAAAAAGAATGCTTCTGTGCTAAGAGTCACCCAGCTGTTGCCAGACGCTAGTACATGACTGAAACTTTTGTATGCCAGAGCCATATGTGTGTTTACTAGCCTTCTGCTAGCTCATCCTGTCATTAATGAAAGAGCAGCAACCAATTATGCAAAACGTATGCAGCTTTTTAAAACTCTGCCTGGACTATTTTAATTGGCTGTTTTTGTTGCTGTTGTTTTGTCTTCCTGGTGATTTATAGAGCTATGACTTTGGGCTTCTGATTTATGGTGGAATGTTCTTGCATTCTAAAACCTACAAAATCCTTGATGCCTGGATCGGTTAGACTGAAGAATGGGTTACAGATTCGAAGAACAAATGGGAGCTCAAGCTGATTTGTTTTTTGCTTTTTGAAGAAAGAGACTCCCTGATTTTTGTAAGGTAGAACTTGGCATTTCACGAGTGTCAACTCATCCACTATCAACAGAGACAAATTAGGAAAAAAGAGGCACAACAGGTACAATAAAAAGAAACAACCTCATACATTTCTTTTCAAATTTAAAAGGAATTTATTTATTTATTCTTGCCAATAACAGGATGAAGAGAGATCTGAGTTGTACTATACCTGTCTTGGATGTCACACACATGCACAAACAATACACACTCACTGATCCAGGCCGGGTAACTTAATATATAACACATAGGTTATTTCTTCCATTAATGTCTGGGGTTAACCTGTTCATGTATCGTCCTCAGAAAGAAGTACATTGTTCAAAGGGTGATTTTTCAGCAGAGACTTGTAGTTTATGTTAAATAATCCTCTTGAATGGTAACACAAGTGTGCTCGGAATGACACTTCACCTTGGAATTTCAATACTGCTTTGAACTTGCAGAAAAAGTCCCAAAAATTCATTGGAAAATGGGCCAAGCACAAATATAACACAGCTTCACTCAGTGGTGGCAATTTGCTTTAAAACAAAGTACACAAAAATAGGTAAGTGGTATAGGAAGGGAGCCATTTCATCCTTGCTGGGAAAAAAAACCCGCACTTTTTTATTGAAGATGTCTTGATTTATTTATTTTATTGATTTTGGTTTGTTGAACATGTATGAGAAAACAAGTATAAGTATGAATATAACATATAAACATATAAGTAGGTATATGTATATACATAAGGAATGATTACAAATAAATGGGAACAGTAGGACAGGGACGATAGGCATGCTGGTGCACTTATGCACACCCCCTTACAGAGCTCTTAGGAATGGGGTGAGGTCCACGCTAGACAGTTTAAGGTTAAAGTTTTGGGGGTTTGAGGATGTAAGAACAGAGTCAGGTAGTTCATTCCAGGAATTGACCACTCTGTTGCTAAAGTCGTATTTTCTGCAATTGAGTTTGGAGCGGTTTACTTTTGAGTTTGTATCTATTGTTTGCCCATGTATTATTGCAGGTGAAGCTGAAGTAGTCATTGACAGGTAGGAAGTTGTAGCAGACAATTTTGTGTACTCAGCTTAAGTTAGACCATAGGCAGTGTAGTTCTAGGTTGTCCAAGCCCAAAATTTCAAGCCTGGTGGCATAAGGGATTCTATTGCGAGCAGAGGAGTGGAGGACTCTTCTCGTGAAATACCTCTGGACTCGCTCAATTGTATTAATGTCCGATTCACAGTGTGGATTCCAGGCAGATAAGCTGTAGTTGAGAATTGGTCTGGCAAAGGTTTTGTATGCCTTGGTTAGCAGTGCAATGTTATTGGAGAAGAAGTTTTGCAAAATTAGGTTAACAACTCTTAATGCCTTTTTGGCAATGCTGTTACAGTGAGCTCTGGGGCTTAGATCTTTTGCAATGAGTACTTCCCTCTCGCTCAGTCTCTCCCCTGAGTGACGGATGCAATTTCATTTTGTAAGGCACTTTAATTTTTCAAAAACAAAAGAAAAAACAAAGGATGGTTACCCAAGAGGGAGACATACTGTACTTCAAATGTTCAGCCCTTGTTGGCTGTTGACTCCTAGATATCGGGAGTTGCTTTTTAACAGGCTAGGTTACTGGATGCTGAAACAGAAATTCTGGTAAATTGAAACTATCATCAGTGTGTCCAGAGATATTAAAGGGAGTTTGGCCAGTCATATATTTTTTTCTCAGCAATTTATCATTAGAGAAACATCTCATACGCATTAATATTGCAATAATTTTTAAAATCTCCAGTATAATATTCATTTTAATTATATTGATTTTGCCCAAAAATCAATAGATGTTTTAACACTCATTTGGATCTACCAATTTATATCTTTAGATGAAATGTATTAATTTATATAAATGGCTCCATTGTTAGGTACCCATTCCTATCCTTCCTTTATCTAGAGTTGATATATTTGTTTTTATAATTTTTATTTTAATCCGTATTTCTTATTTTTACATTTCCTGTTTTTACATTTGTTGTTCAATGGTTATATACCACCCAGAATCATGTTTTGCAAGATCATCTAGGAGTTGAAAATGACCAGATGGTACATCGTCATCATCATTTATATCTTAATGTATATCAATATTTAGAAATTTTAAGGCAACATCCATCTCTCTCTCTGCCTTAGTACTCTTGCTTTTGCTTTTTCTCCTCCCCCGTGTTTGTGTGTGTGTACGTGCGTATGTAAAATATTAATGGATAACAGCTACTATGCAGTAGAACATACAAGTGTTTCTCTTTAGAGAGAAACATTTGAGTTAGGAGAACAAGCTTTAAAAGAAAGTACTCTGAAGCTTGCGTGGGAAAAAATAATAAAGATAAGCTTTGTTTAGGGAATAAAGTCCAAGTTCTGTTCTCATAAACATACTTTACTGGAATAGAAGGATTGGCTGGGAATAACTTTACCAGACTTTTGATAAATTGTTGCCATTTTGTGAGAATCTCATAGGACATTTCACAATACCAAATGTGCCCACTGACTCAAGAGGTTTGGCTACATTTGAATAGAATCCAATAGAGCTCTATACCTTTAATGAATACCAGCTTAAGCCTGTTTGATTGAGTTACATAAGTAAGCAACAGCCATGTCTATGGGAAGCTCTTGAGGAAAGAAAGAAAGAAAGAAAGAAAGAAAGAAAGAAAGAAGAAAGAAAGAGAGAGAGAGAGAGTGAGTGAGAGAGAGAGAGAGAGAGAGAAAGAAAGAAAGAAAGAAAGAAAGAAAGAAAGAAAGAAAGAAAGAAAGAAAGAAAGAAAGAAAGAAAGAAAGAAAGGGAAAACAATGTTTTACAGTCTGAGATTTTAAATTGGGTTGAGTTTAAAAAAAATTACAGTTTGAGAAGAGACCTGCATATTAATCCTGATGGATAAACTCTTTTAAGAAGATGAAAGGTGTAATTACTGTAAAAGAATCTGAGATTTTTCTGCTAAGAGTTTCCATAAAGCTATCAGATTTGGTCTGAAAAATTCAGGACGAGTGAAAGCACACTTTAATGGGCATTCATATGCAGGCCACATCATTGCTTAATTCTGAATTGTGATGCAAGATAGTATAAGGAAACATAGTTCTACAAAATGAAAGCAGAAATACATTATTTGAATAGAAAAAGAGTTCTATTTTTCGCCAGGCAATTCATATATATTTTGACTTCTCCACCAAACCATTTGAAGCCTGCCACACAATTTTAAAAGGTCTCTAAACCTTGAAGAACACTTATGTTACCTGAATTTCATGGATGAGGAGAATCTGGAAAATCTCTCTCCACAAAATGGTATTTCCCTAAATATTTTTTGCATCAATCTTCCACACATGAAATAGAAGCATATCAAATGAGAAGTAGGGTAAATCAATCTACAATGACTACCGTAGCACCTTTGAAGAAGTAAATGGGAAGTCTGTTTTTTTAAAAACTATTATTAATGCAATGTACCATATTATTAATATAAAGTTTACATTACTGTTTAATTTAGCTTGCTTATCTATCAGTTATGAAAGTTAATTAAAGGCTTGTCGTAAAATAATGTATAGAAGTATTTTGTTTCCCTTTGCAATACTATTCTTGTTACTGCTGGAGACGAAGAGCAAAAACTGCTTCTATTTTGCACTGATTTTTCTCTCCTAGCATTTTGCCAGGAAGCTCAGCGTTCACAGAATTGAATACCTTCCTCTTTTTTCTACCCTGGGTTGCCAAAACAGGTCAGAAGAAATGCAAGTAGAAAAGCTTAAATGAAAAAGAGAGCAAATCCCACCTCCATAGATCTGAATTGTTTAGGAATTCTAGAACAGGGGCTCTTTTCTATTGTCCAGTTGCAGATTCTCGGCTTTCCTGCCAAAACTATCACCAGTTAAAAATAAGGACATTTGACTTGCTCTTCTCTGGCTAGCAGAAACCGCAATGCAGATCTGTTTGAAAAATGTATGCTGCTTCTGCATCAACTTCATTGTGCTTTTCCTCTTTGAAGGGGCATCTACTTAATAGTGTTAAATGCGATTCATATCACTCACTTTCCCTTGGGATTATATTCCTTTTCAACAGACAAAAAGTTCCACACAGGATTTACATTAGTTAGCAGGAGCTATCACTTTCCATACTATTACCCTAATACCCTCCCTCCATCTCTAGCTAATAAACTAAAATTAAGCAAAGTGTTCATTACAATTGCATTTTATTACTAATAAATTATAGCTTCCTGAGAGAGAAAAAGTTATTTGCATTTGAACACTGCTTAGTCAGCTTACAATGCTTTGCTGTAGTGTATTTGCAAAAAGGTGCTTTAGTAATTAGGATAGAAATGATGGAAACCAGATTACAGACTTTTTTTTCTAACTCATCTAAGTGTTTAAGGCTATTCTGCAAAGCCTACAGTAAACATCAGATTAGTATACTTAAAACATATACTTTTAAAACATCCCAATAAAGGTTCCCTCACACATATGTGCTACTCATTCCTGACTCTAGGGGGCGGTGATCATCTCCATTTCATTGCGCTGAAGAGCCAGCGCATTCCCAAGACATCTCCATAGTCATGTGGCCGGCATGACTAAACGCCGAAGGCGCACAGAACACTGTTACCTTCTCATCAAAGGTGGTTCCTATTTTTCTACTTTCATTTTTATGTGCTTTTGAACTGCTAGGTTGGCAGAAGCTGGGACAAGTAATGGAGGCTCACTCCACTATGCGGTGCTGTTTCCCTGAAAATACAACATGTCCTCATAATACAGCCGTGCCACATTTTTCTAGTGGGCAAAAATATAACACCCCCTGCATATAAGCCCCCTGGATAACCCCCATCTCCGGCCAGGCAGAGCGCCGCTCACCAACCTAGCAGTATGCCGAAGGTGCCAAGCGCAGGAACCTGGAAGGAGGCAAAGGTGATCGTGTTGCTTGGTGCCTTCAGGATACCGCTAGGTTGGTGAGCAGCGCTGTGCCCAGCTGAAGAGGGGGGTTGCTGGGCAGCTGCTCTCTTGCGAGTGGGCTCCCAAAGAGCCGGGCATAACCTCTTGGGCGAATGGCTGTGTTGCGCTGTTGCACGAGCAGCCACCCGGAACCCCCCTTTGCAGTCGGGTACAGCGCTATTCACTGACCTAGGGGTCAGCCGCGTGAGCGCCTGTTCGCCACCGCCCTGCTCCCACAGCTTGGCGCCTTTAAAATGTCAGTGAATGGCGCTCCGCATGGCTGGAAAGGGGGGGGTTGCGCGAGCAGTTGTTCCGCTCTCGCTCATCCACCTCCCAATGCATGGCCCAGCTCTCATTATGGAGCCAGGGCACCTCCGCCGCCGTCATCCCAGCCTGGCTTTTTCCGTGACTTCCAACCCAAGTCTTTCAGCAGTGGCCTCTCTGGGCGCACACTCTATGGTAATACGCTCTGCAGGCAGCTCGCCCACAACCATAGAGTGTGCGCCCAGAGCGGCCACTGCCAAAAGACTCGGGTTGGGAGCATGGAAAAAGCCAGGCTGGGATGCATCATGAGGCTGGGAGGCGGGTGAGCAAGAGCGGAGCAGCCGCTCACGCAACCCCCCTCTCCAGTCGTGCAGAGTGCCATTCACTGGGATTTGGAAGGCGCCAAGCTGCGGGAGCCGGGAGGCGACGAAGAGATGCTCATGCAGCTTGGCGATACCCCTAGGTCAGTGAATGGCGCTGTGCCTGGCTGCAAAGGGGGTTTGCCAGGTGGCTGCTCATGAGAGTGGTTGCTTCATGGCCATGTTGTGCTGCTGCAACAGCGCAACACCGCCATTCGCCCATGAGGCTGTGCCCGGCTCTTGGGAGTCCGCTTGCAAGAGAGCAGCCGCCTGGCAACCCCAAAACAATAAACCCTCCCCCCCATAATAAAACCCAAGCCATATTTTGTAGATAAAAAGAAGATAAGACCCTGTCATATTTTCGGGAAAACATGGTATATAAATCTGGGTGCTGTTACTATTGTTCAATGGCTTTTGTGCATATACAGAAGGCCCTGTGAAATGGACTGTCATTGTGGAACACCACACCCCTCACACCATGGCAAAGCACAATAGACTTC